AACTACTCAAAATAAGCGATAAATCTACTATATTCCTAGGAGACTTTAACGCTCACCATCCTACATGGAGTATAGATGATAAAATAGATAATCATGGCAAATTAATTTCCGAATGGATACAAACAAACGACCTAGTACTCCTAAATAACAACCAACCCACGAGGTACGATAAGATAAACCAAAAAATGTCGGCTATCGACCTAACCATATGCACCGCAGATCTAGCTCAAAGTACTCAATGGGAAGTGCACGACGTCCCGCTAGGTAGTGACCACTTCCCCATAAACATAACCATAGGAAATACAAACGTACCAATCCAAACAGAAAACCAAGAACCAAAATTCCATTACAATAAAGCTAACTGGGACAAGCATCATTATTTTCTATTTCGTTTAGAAATAGAAAATAATGATCCAGAAACCTATTGTTGAAACCTAACAGACTATATAATAAACGCAGCCAAAACCTCCATCCCCTTCAAAACATCTAAGACAGGCTAGGCAAACCCACGGTACCATGGTGGAATGATGAAATAGAACAGACTAGACGAAAACGTAAATCAGCCTTCAATAAAGCAAAACGCGACTACAAACATCTAAACATAGCCCACGAACAAAACCACCAGGTTAAAAAACTAGTCCAACTAGCCAAGGTATAAATAACCGTACAGATGCCAGAATGGTCTGGCGCAAAATCCACGCCATTAGAGGCTTAAAACGACATAAAAAACCTAACATTAACAACTCAACCAACCCCGCCCAAAAAGCAAATAACCTCGCCAACCACTTTTCGGCCGTTAGCAGTAACACCAACTTCAGCCAAAAATTCCAAGATAAACTTAAAACAAAAAACAAACCCACAAAAAAACAAAACAATAACAATCTAGAAATAAACCAACCCTTCACAATGGAGGAGCTCCTCTATGTAAACCAAAACAGGAAAAAGGGCAAAGCCCCAGGATTAGACTTAACTTCTTACCAAATAATTAAAAATCTCCCGCTAAAACTACATTACAGGCACTACTCAAACTATACAATCTCATCTACCTAAACGGACAGGTTCCTACTCCCTGGAAACAGGCCCTAGTCATACCAATCCCTAAACCTAATAAACCAGCTAATCAAGCTAACTCATATAGACCAATATCCCTAACTTCAAACTTATGCAAAGTAATGGAATCAATGGCTAAAAATAGATTACAACATTACCTAACCCAAAATAACACCAACTATTGAACTGCATGGCAAGTATTTATAAAACGACTGGGGGAGGAAATATTCTGGGGGGAGATTTTATTTCTTTCGTAGGGTGGGGGAGAGTTTATTTAGAGAGGGGCGGAACTGTACCGGTATAAATTCGCCGGGGGAGGGGGGGGGGGGGGGGGGAGATTTTATTCTGGGGGCGAATATATTTCGTGACACCGGAACCGTGTGTCCCGAGGCCCGTGCGTCGACAGCCAATCTGGCTTCTCACTGCCTTTCCATTAGTACAAGTATATCCTGTTATAATATGATAGTGAATGCATTTACTGAATTACATACTACATTATGATTGGACAATATATGCCATGAATATTATATAATTGCATTTGAATGGACATGAATAATCTGACTTTACCTGTTTGACATTTATGCTTATATATAGCTGTATAAAAATATGGTACAATTGAAAATTGGAAATAGTATCATACATAATTTTTGTTACTGTTTCGTCAAATTTGGCAATGTCCTCCACATATCTATCATAAACGTTTTGCAAGCTTTATTAAGGCAGTGAATGTTGTAACCTTGATCAAGCAACTTCTGAGCAAGAGTTGTATGACGCTCTTTGAAATCTGGGCAGAAAGCAGCCTCGATTGCATCTCAAAGGTTGTGACATGTAAACACCAAAGGCTGCAGGAATATTGCTCGACATAAATAGAAAGTTGACTATTGTCATCCCTCTTGTCAAACAGTCTTGTGGAGTGTGTTTTGTCACTCTGAATCTTTATGCATAGATCGAAATATGAAACAGTTGAGGCAGTCTCACTTGTCTCCTTTACTTACCTCCAGTTCAGGTGCGTAAATCGGTGCAAGGGGCTTAGCTATATGATGGTTATTGAACGATTTCAGATCATAGATATACCTGAAGCTTGAGTTAAACTTCTTGGTGCATACCTACTGCTTGCCTTAATGTCTTTCCCCAAAACTATATATAGACTTTTATCAATGAGAAAGTCCAGCATTTCACATGTTGTTTTCTCAGTATGCTTCAGGAGGCATTTGCTTTCATTTTTGACAAATTGCCCTGAACCTCTGTTGGTAGAATTGTTCTGTATCTATGGTCACCACGTTTTGTACAAAGGTTCCACCGATGAAGGAATAAATTTTTCCCTCAAGTTTGTCATGTGGGATAGTGGTGTAGAAAGTTGAAAAATCAAAAGTTTTGACGGAACTAAACATGGTTCGTTTCTAAGATTGTAAAAAGTCAAGCAAATCATTTGAGTTTTTGAGAATGCACATGGTATTCATTACGTGAAATCCAATTCCGAAATATAATGACCAGGCCCTGAACTAAACCTGAAGGAACTGACCCAGGCACTGTACAAAGAATGGCAGAGGATCCAAATCATAAACATCAGACGTCTGATCAGCAGCATGGGCAGTCTCGCGAATGTCATCCGTGATAGGGGTGGACACTCCAGACACTGATGGTAGTCAGTGGTGATTCCTAGGTTGACAATCATCGATTTTCACTGCCTAATGTTATACCTCGATTCGTGGTGTGGGCTGGGTGCTGTCTGATGCCAACGTTGTTTTAGAGTGTTTCGCCAATACATCGGTACTGATTGCTAGTGTCAGCTTCATAATTTGTGGCGTTTTGTTTGTCAATTACTACTTTTTGTCGTGTTTCCCACAATGATTCACTCCAGTCAGTCTTAAATAAAGTATATACCCGAAAAAGGTGGGTGGTGCTTAATTAATGATGAGGTACATATACTGAACAACAAAAGTTCGTGTGACATTGAATAAGATTTAATGCAAAGTTATATTTTTTACCAAATCTGAAACAATTTCGGTTTGCAACAGATAAAAGACTCCCGTAAGTGTTCAAATGGTTTAATTTGCCATACTGACTTCAGAAAATGCGTGATTTCATAAAAAACAAACACGTGAACATGAACATGTCAAAATGTCAAGTTACAAATCAATAGCGTGTGTGTCCACCTCTGGTTGCGTGGCAAGCAACACATCTTAATCTCATGGAATGGACCAGGCGTCGCACAAAGTCCTGTGGGATATCTGTCCATACCTACTGGAGCATGTTTCGAGGTTCCTGGAGTGTCTGTGGAACATGTGGTTGACGTCGAAGGCGCCGATCCATCTCATCCCACATGTGCTCGATTGGTGAGAGATTAGGGGAGCGAGCCGGCCAGGGGATGACATTCACGTTGTTTTGTTGAAGAGAATCTTGAACAAGTCGAACAATATGAGGCCGGGCATGATCATGTTGAAAGGCAATGCCTGGGCCATGACGACGCAAAAACAGTAGAACAACAGGGCCGAAGATCTCGTCGCGGTAGCGCTGTCCATTGAGATTTCCCTCTACCACTATCAAACGGGTCCTCTGTCTTGCTGTAATCCCACCCCATACCATAACGCTGCCGCCCCCGAACCGATCTTCTTCCATGACACAATGATTGACGTAACGTTCACCTCGACGTCGGTACACTCGAATCCGTTATTCGCTGTGGCTGAGGTGAAAACGAGACTATTCAGTGAATAGAACTTGTCCCCACTGCATGGCCGTCCAGCGTGAAGCTGTCCGAACCACTGTAGACGTGCTTTACGGTGGTGTCAAAATGGGACGTCTGGCGGGTCTTCTGGCGACACTCCCTGCACATCTGAGGCGACGATGTACGGTTTGTGAAGATATTCGTCGAAGGCCAGGGATGCTTCTTGCAGTCACTGTTGCTGGCTGGAATCGATTTTCGTAGGTGTGTTGTTTAAATCCAGTTGTCTTGTCGATTATTGGTTACGCGTGACCTGCCACTCCGAGGATGGTCTCTGACTGCATTCGTCTGTTGCCAACGTTGCCATAAACACCAAATGGTGTTTCTTTGGACGTTAAATTGTCTTGCAACATCACGTTGAATCGATCCTGCTTCAAGCATACCAAGGGCTCGCAAACGCTCATTTTCGGACAGGCGTGGCGTTTCGTAATGTTGAATAATTGCGTAATTTTGTTGTTTTTCTGAGTGGTTGTTGTCAGCACAATGCTGAACAATGCATATGGCATCCCGTTAACGCACATGTTTTTATACCCATTCTTGGGTAGTGAAATGCATGGGGCTTGCATAAAAGTCAACTTTTGCATGGAATGCATGCCTTTCTGTAGCAATTGCGTTTTTGTGACTTGATTCCATACATGTACTACAATATTGAAAACCAAACTTTACTTGTTTGAAAAATACACTAAAATATTGGTGTCACAGGAACTTTTGTTGTTGAGTATATATATTGTTCGGTAATTCAGATTTGCCAGATGTATTAAATTCAAAGATTGAATCTGTCCAAGATTAATCTACCCCAACAAATTGCCATTGTAGCTTATAAATCTTACATGTTTTACACCACAAACATAAAAAAATACGTTGTGCTTAAATTACGTGTTTCTACCTTTGTTGAGCTAAACAATCATATTAAATATACACTGGACCAAAAAAGGTTAGCAAATTGTAACAAATCAGCACACAATTAATATTTTTGTAAATATAATATTGATGTATATATTGCATCTGAATCAAACAAAACCCATCAAAACGCCGCTAAATGGTGATGTGTCATTGTTACAGGCTCTGGGAGTCATTTGTCAAGAAAGGGGTGCTACAAAAAATATCAGTAACATGTAAAGGCACCACATATGTTGGCAGAATATGGTCCACATGGAAGAATACCCCTTTGAGCACTCATACTGAGCTAGTTCAATGATGTTGTTGTTGAAATAGTGAGTGGACTCACCTGTAATATGAAGCGTCTGCCACTCTATTGTAGCAGTTGAAACGTTAGCTTCGTGGAACAACCGGATATCTTTAGGTAATACCTCACAAACCCAGGACATATTTGTTGACCCCTTGACTGTGGTAACTAGGAAGTTCTCACGTTTTCGTAATACACTTTTGATAAGATTCCGTGCAATACTATAGCCGTCCGCACTGAACCCTTCAGATCTCAACAAAGTACGTCTTTATCTTTCTGCGACTACCGTTGTCATGATAAACAAAGTTAATCGGCAAATCTCTTCGCGGGGGTCGATCATATATCAACGGAGGGCAACATTAGAGTTTTTTAAACGGCCACAATCACGCCTAAGCCCGTGTCGGGTTAGAGATATTCACAATTTGAATATCCAGTTCTCGTCATAATTAAACGTGTATTTTGTGGAATACAAATGTATTGAAGAGAGGGGCGTCAAAAAGTAACAACATCAACGCAAGTTTACATCTGCAACAACACACCGAAATGTACGTTTTGATGGGTTTTTGTTTGTGGTTATCTACAAAGAAACTGTTTTGTTTATTTTTTTTTACGCGAAGCATATATCCATACATGGCACATCTTCGGCGAGGGTTGTCAGAGCGTACCTCAACTTAATGATATGAATACAAGCAAGAAAACACAGGTACATAATTATAAGAAATCTCTGATAAAAGCAGAGTCCATAGTAATATTCCGACTGTATCATAGACATGTATTTTATGAATCACTATCAAATATTGACGATACCAGGTGTTGGTGAAAATGTGAGCCTGTCCCTCATACAAAAATACAAAGTCAGGTGTTCACCTGAATAAAAACAACACGGGAACACATGATCCTGCCTGCTGACACATCAATCGCCTGAAAAAATATCATTTTCTTACATAGATATCCTCCATTTACGTTTCAGAAATGGTTTGTTTTAGGCGCCAGTCATAAAATAACAGTAGTGATTGAATATGTCCCGCTGGCAGTCGATCACGCACTGTGGAATCATCTTAACCATAGTAACCAACAGCAAAGTAAAGGGTTGGTCCTCGAGTTATACTGATAATATAAGACAACAAACATATTGTAGTCATCATATGAGTTAAACATAACTAAAAGCATTACAACATGCCTTACCTTCAACACGACACGTCTAACAGGTGAAGTCACGTGATTGTGTTGATGTCATTGATTGGACGAGTACGTGCGTCACACAGGTAGGATCAATACATGTGTAACGATAAAGGCTACTACAGCCACAACAATATAGAATGGACACTTCAGTGTAAGGTCAAGTACACACAATAGTCATTATTTGCACAGAACATATATCACAACCATCATACTGACTGTACCCGTCCCAAATAAAACCTGTTTTGTTAAGCCCAAATTACAATCAGGCGAGCCACATTTCCCTTGTCGCATTCAATATGCACAAGCAGATAGTGGTATTCGCGCATAGCAATAATGCATGCCATTATGTCTGAACACAGTGTATGTTGGTTGCGTGATTACAACGGATTAAAGCTTCAAAAGACATTCTCAAAAGGTACTGACACGTTATGCGTGCTCAGTTGCTGTCCGACGAATTGAAAAGGCAACTAAAGAGGTTTGGGCAGACTCTGTGTGTGTGTGTGTGTGTGTGTGTGTGTGAGAGAGAGAGAGAGAGAGAGAGAGAGAGAGAGAGAGAGAGAGAGAGACACACACACAGAGACAGACAGACAGACAGACAGACAGACATACAAGTAACAGGGAGGGTAGAAGTTAAATTGGGGGGGGGGGGGGGGGGGGGGGGGGCATTGATTACTTTGAATTCCAGAGGTAAAATGACATGGAATCGATGTCTATAAATTATGTACACAAAGCAGGGCCGCCAAGAATAGCTAGTAGTGGTTTCCCGTTGAGCATGAGAAAGGGAAATGTGATAGTCCCAGAAAAAAGCAATGGGTTTAACCTGTATCAGAACATTCATGCAGGCTTATGTACAACATACAATAGTGTGAGGTTCATGTTAAATTTGTCTGTTTGTTTGTTGTTTAACGCCGCGCAATATTCCATCTATTATGACGGCGATCTGTAAATAATCGAGTCTTGACCAGACAATCCAGTGATTGACATCATGAGCATTGATCCACGCAACTGGGATACAATTACATGCATCGAGTCTGACCACCCCTTTCCGTTAGTCGCCTCTTACACAAGCATAGTCGCCTGTTACGGCAAGCATGGGTTGCTGAAGACCTGTTCTATCCCGGATCGTCACGGGTGTAATGTAAATTAGAAGAACTGATTGTAATACTTTCATATTTATTGTATAAATCTTATACTGCTCGTAATACTACAATGACTGCAAGTCACTATACTGATGGTCGTCCATAGATACCTTTCCTACAATTATTCCCCGATCCCTGGCATATTGACCACTCGACCTTGACATATACCACCGAAAACAGTTTTAGCGAAAAAAATAATTTGTCCCAGAAAGAGTGTGAGGAAAATAATATAAGATGTAGCAGTAGCACGAAGCGTACATCTGGTTTTATACCTAACGCTTGGGAGGGGGGATATATATTTCCGAGCAGCCCAACCAGCCAGGAAGGCTGTCTACAAGGAGGAAGAAAACCGAAAAACTGAATATTATGGTGTTTACAGGATTATTGTTTTGTAAAGTATCCCCGAGTAAAATGTTTCCTTTTGAAATATGAATGTTTATATTCCCTTTATTGAGAAGCCGTTTTTCAAAATTGGGCCATATGGGGCGTACCTTTTGACATTCCAAAACTAGGTGAAAATAGTTTCTTTATCACTGTCAACCTATCCCATTTTATAAAGAAGCGAATTTGTAGGTAGAATATGATGTCATATTCCATGCTGATACCACTGACATGTACATGAGACACAAACAGTGTAACATTATCTTGTTTACGATCTGCTTCTTAAATTTCACTTCTAAGCAGGGATTCCCATTTTTGAAAGTGTTGAATCTTGGTAATTTGTTTGTCCACAAGTATGTTATAGAAATATTGAGAACCTTTCCTTTTTTTTAACAAAAGAAATAAATGAAATTGTAAAATTGGGTAACTAAGTTTCTTCAGCTTCTGAAGCGCTGCTGCCGAAATAATTGTTTAATAAGACTGGGTAAGCCTTATATAGCAAAGATGATTAATTATATAGTTGTATTTCTCCGTGAAATGTGCACATGAGAGAAAGTGTCCCTTTTCATCAATAAAATCATAAATAAATCTGATGCCTTTTGTAGACCATGATTGTTAGACAACCGTTTCCTTCCCCACGTGTATGGTATCATTTAAACGGACATTTTGTGAAAGAATGCCAACGGCAGGAATATAAATATTCTCTAGGTCGTCCATGGAAGCCCACCAAGACATATGTAAATCTTCTTAGAGCTTATTGTTTACTCTAGATAATATATATTGCATATGTTCCTGTTATAGCGGTATTTAAGAACAATAGAAAGAAAATTAGAATGGGTTATTAAAGCTAGTCTTATTACCGAAATCTTTGGAGACTGCATGACTTCTCTTATTTTAGGGAATTTAATCCTTCCATCTTTAGTATCACATATCATTTGTGACACATAATCTATCAATTAATGTTTGAGGTGGAGTATTAGATGAGAATAGGAGGTTAAGTTTGGGCAGAAGAAGTGATTTAAGAATAGGATTTCCGCCAAAAAGTGTTAGGTGTCTCATTGACCATATTGTCATCAGCGTTTCACATTTCTTGAACCTGTTTCGTTGTTAATATCCACCATATCATCCAGGTCAAGACAGAATGGTATGCTCAATAATTCGAAAGATTCCTCTTTCCAACCTAAATTCTTTTTCGGGTAGAGTTTCAATTTCGATATTTTCTTTGATTCTATCCATATCAATTATGTCTGTCATTTTAAACCTGAAAATTTGGCGAAGCATGTCAATGCATGCAAAACAGCGTTAGGGGCCTCGTTCAAAACCATCAAGTGAGCAGGTTGTATCGTCTGCATATTGTGTCAGAAGATCCTCCATTTTTCTAAATCGATCAAGGTAGTACAAGAATTTGATAATTTTCCGTACATTGCATAATATCACATATCTGTCTTGTTAATTCCCCGATGTACATGTATCGCCAATCCATGAAACCTTTCTGATCTTCTTTAATAAATATTTCTAAAACAAATGATATTCTACGCAATATAGTTATTGAGGGAGGGAAAAATCACGAGTGCCGATAAATCTACCCGAGGAGGAGTGTTTTATCGAACCTATAAACCATCCACATAGTACTTGATACTTTTTTTTACAAAGCAAATATTTAAGAATTACATGAAACGTTCATAAAATATATTATTTAAAGCTAGTACATGTAAAATGCTTCGTAGCCTAATGGTAGAGTGTGCATGCCAAATCAACGATCCGTGCACCTGATTGATTTTTATACATTCCGAAAACAAGAAATGTTTAATCAATGTAACGTCCTGCGTTAATAACTAATCCTTGTGTAGAAAATATCAGTCAGTCATTGTAAAACCTCATCAGTTGAATAAAATAAATGGGAAAACCAGGTGTCGGGGATGACAATGGCCATTGTAAAAACTAGGCTTGTGTGAGTTCCGCTGTTTGTATGTGAACCCATGCTCCTGCATGTGTATGCTTTCGGGGAGGTGGGTGGATAGACCTGTGTGTGTATATATTGAATGGCGGTAGATTAAAACACTTCAGGTCTGGACGCCATGCCAGAGAGACAAGAGCATGACACTGACGTCAGCGCCACACAAACCAGAAAGGAGCTGTGAAATACATCACTTAAGAAGTGATTTTTACTTTGTGTGAGTGCTTTGAAGTATGAACTTTCATAGATTGAGGGCCAAAGTATTTGGTCCCGAAGCTTACTTTTTTATATCACCATTTTCTACTTCCAAAGATGGCTCGGCTACTGAAGCTGTTAGCAGTACTATTGTCATAGTTCTAAAAATCACTATAATTAACCTATAATTATAGTGGTCATATTTCAATGATACGTTTCGTATTTTTCTCAATATTTTAGCAAAAGGGACACATCCACAAAAGGCAAAACAGTCCCAATAACAAGCTACGTCAGTTGGTGGAGAATCCGGGTACCTCTCGCCAGTT